CCGGCCCAGCGCGTCCTCCGTGTCCTGCAGGACCAGCCGGTAGGTGCCGAGCTGGCCCTGCAGCGCCTCCTGCCGTGCCAGGCACTGCGCCGTCTGCCTCTGCGTGAGGCCGGCCTCCGTCTCCGCCCGGTTCAGCACTCTCGCCAGCTTCTCGTTGGTCTCTTCCTCCCGCACGATGGACTTCTTGTAGGCCTCGATCTCCCCGTCCACGGACTTCAGCTGGTGCTGGCACTCGCTGCGGGCGGGGAGAGCGGGCACGCGGGGTCAGCTCCCGGGGGCTCCCGGGCCGGCCGAGAGACGGGCCTCGGGCTCTTCTAGCAGCAGCCAGGCCGCGACCTCGACTTCCTGACGGCCCGACGGAGCTGCTGCTCCTTCAAGGCTGTGATGTGGGGGCAGGACCGGGGAGGAAGTGAGTGGGCCTCTGCCCATCCCCTGGGGCGGTGATGATAGCCCCAGGCCGGGAGTGTTGTCCCGATCTTAGAGATGGGGCACCGAAGCTCCGGCGCCCGGGAAGCTGGCCCCTCCCTCGGTGGCCGTCAGTCCAGGTCCTGCCACTGGGCCTCAGCCATGCAAGGCCCCGAGCCCGGGGCCAAGTTAAGCAGCACAGGCCCCGGGTGGCGGAACTGGACTTCTTGTTCGGGGGCGAGACTCTTCTCAGCCCGGCCTGTCCCGCTGTACTTTCCACTCCTGCCGGTGCCCCAAAGGCAGGCAAAGTGTCACCGTCACACAAGGAGAGAGACCCTGATGTTTTAACAGCCTTTCCTTGGTTTTACAAATTTCCTGTAATGCGATCACTTACCCTTGATAAAAATTACTTTAAAAAAAAAAAAAATCCACACTTTAAAAACTTCCTTGAGCCGGGTGGTTGTGGCTCAGCGGCTGAGCGTCGACCTATGAACCAGGAGGTCGCGTTGATCCCCGGTGGGGACACAGGCCCGGGTTGCTGCTCGACCCCCAGCCAGGGGCCTGTGGGAGGCAGCCGGTCAGTGGCTCTCATCATAGATGTTTCTCTCTCTCCCTCCCCCTTCCTCTCTCTCAAAAATCAATTTTTAAAAACAAGTATATTTTAAAACTTCCTTGACTGGTAGCTACTGATAGAAAACCACGGAAACAAAGAGACCCGGTGGGGCCAGGAAGGCGTCCCGAGCATCAGGCCCCCTTTGAGGATGAAGGGGGCACCGGCTGCCGGGAAGGGGGTCACAGGCAGGTAACAGGGCCNGGGGCCAGGAAGGCATCCCGAGCATCGGGCCCCCTTTGAGGATGAAGGGGGGACCGGCTGCCGGGAACGGGGTCACAGGCAGGTAACAGGGCGCAGGGGGACCCTCTGGGGCCCTACCCCGAGGGAATGTAATTTAGGGTACGCCCCCCAAGTTAAGCCCAGCAGCCTGTGTTTTCCGGTTTGTTTTGAGAAGTTTCCCGTGAACACAACCTGTTTCACTTGCGTGTACGATACGACTTTCCGGGCCCCCTGCCGTCCCACCTGGTCGTCCACCTGTGGCTGGGACCCACTGTGATGGGACTTAGTCCCTGACACGAACAAGACGTGCCCACCAGCCACAGGAGCCCAGGGCAGGTGCGGTCACTTGGCCCCCGCGTGGGGGAAGGAGGGATGGGACGCGTGTCGTTAGAGCAACCCCAGCCTCTGGCCACGGCCCTGTGGGCAGCGACACATTCCTAATGGGCGCTCTGTGGAAGGAGCCCGGGGACCAGGCCAGGAGGAGGGCCGGGGGCGACACTCTGGGTTAGTCCTGGAGGCACCAAGCATTGGACAGTGGGGAGGCCACAGACGTGCCATCGGACCCTGCGGTTCGTCCCCTCGTTAGCAAGTCTTTCTTGGGCACCTGCTCTGCGCCAGGCTCCGTGCCAGTGCCAGAAACGGAGACCAAGTTAAAGCTGAGTAAGTGAGCTCCTTATCCCATCCGGGTGCCCACCCCCTGGGCAGTGCGGGGAACTAAGGCAGGGAACTAAGGCGGCGCTGTGTGTCTCCAAGACCCAGCCCCAGGGGACGTCCACCTGGCCCGAAGTGACAGAGGACAGGAGAGGGGGCCCTTCCTTCCCCCCGGAGGGGAGATTAAAGNCTGGCCCGAAGTGACAGAGGACAGGAGAGGGGGCCCTTCCTTCCCCCTGGAGGGGAGATTAAACGGGATTTGGCTGGAACGCAGCCCGGGGCAGCACCATCGTGAAGGGCGGGGCTCCCGCACACAGGTGGTGAGACTTCAAAGCAAAGGGCCCCCTTATCTCCTGCAGATAAACACCCCTCTCCCTTCCGTCTCCCTCCCCCCTAATCCTCCGAGGAAATCCCAGCCTGAAAGCTGGAAATCCCGGCCTGAAAGCCCGCGGCTCCCGGGGCCTGGGAGAGTTTGAAAGGGCTTAAGAAACGTTGAAATCGTGGTGGAAAATCCGGAGGCTTCCGGCCGGAAGCGGGGCTGCAGGTGCCTCCTTGGTCCCCGGAGGCCCGCTCACCTGCCACCAGGTGGCCCCCCCCCCACAGCCCCTGCTTCTCAAGGTGCCGCTGCTCTGTGCCCGCTCACCCGCCGCCTGGCGCCCCAAGCCCGGTTCCGGCCACCAGAGCCCCGGGCAGGCACGAGCCGGGCGGCCTACCTGAGCACCTCCTGGATGGCCCGGTGCGCCTCGTCCCGGCGTGTCATGCCCACCAGGCTGGTGGACCACTGCTGCAGGATCTGCTTCTTCTGCACGCGGATGGCGTCTATCTCGGTGCAGGCCTGCGGGGCACGCGGCGCCCGGCTCGTTTCATTTCGCCCAGAGCCCCAGAGAGCGCGCTGGGGATCCCTGACCTCCCCAATGGCCTTCCTTCCCTGTCGCCCTGGCTTTTCTTTTTTTTTTTTTTNAATGGCCTTCCTTCCCTGTCGCCCTGGCTTTTCTTTTTTTAAAAAAAAAAAAATGTTTTTATTGATTTTTAGAGAGAGAGAGAAACATCGATCAGCTGCCCCCTACTGGGGACGGAGCCTGCAACCCGGGGAACGTGCCCTGACCCGGAATCGAACTGTGACCTCCCGGTTCGTAGGTCGACACTCCACCAACTGAACCACCCCGGCCAGGGCACCCTCGCTTTGATTATGCTCCAGCAGAAGGACAGACACAAAATTAAACACGGCTCTAAAGACTCATCAGAGCCCCATCTGAGCCTCTTCTCGGGGCCCCACGGGCTCGAGGCCGCAGAAAGGGGATGGCCACCTGCCCCAAGCCGGGCCCCGAACGTGGGGGTGCCACGGTGACCGGCGCCGGCTGAGACGCAAAGACCTCGGCTCAAACCAGTCTTTAAATATCTTAAACACATTCCTAATTTTTTTTAAAAAAAACACGTTCAGCCCTGACCAGTGTGGCTCAGTGGTTGAGCGTCGCCCCCCC